ACCGAAGACGACGCCTCCGCCGCGAGCATCGACAACAGCCACTATCATTGTTAAACGTACTGTACAGCGTACATTGTTATTATTGTCGAATTATAAATTATTATTGTGATATCGTTAATTGCGCTTCGAGTCGTCGTATTTTTTTTATATAATCAGTGGCGTCATTTAAATTTTCAATAGAGGGGGGCAATAGTTTTGACCGGCTCAAATGAGTAACTCAAATGAAAAAAAACCATTATTAAGCACTTATTATGTTCCTCTTAAATCATAAAATACTCCCGTATATGACAACTTTTTTGCACATTCTCAGCACGCGTATAGATATAAATATGTTCCGAATATTAATTAGCAATTCATCAGTGATAATTTCTTAGTAGACAATATATCATAAATTCATAACAGTTTCTCAAAATATTATAAAAATAGGGATAAAATATAATAACTATTAAATAGAACAATCCGGACACCGGCCCATCGGGATGCTTTTAAAAATCAGACACTGGCAAATTCCCACCTTGCCACCCCTCAAACAACGCCACTGGATGTAATCAATTAACACTTCAACACATATATTTGCGTATCATATCACACTTGAACAATATAGACTGTATTTTTGGTCAGCTCATCCCATCTTCATCATCTTACAAAGTGGTGCGAGTCCCTAGGGACTCACTGGATAGTATAAAAGCCCGGCCTCCTGGCGAAAAACGTACCTTGTAAAAAAAGGAATTTCGTTAAAATATAAAGTTCTGCTTACGTATAACATAATCGAACATAAAATCATGTAATGTGTCGAGTATTCTTGATCTGTTTAACTATAATATTAAGGAGTGCTACACGTTTCCCTAACCAAAAAAATATTCTCCATGATAATAATATGTACTTTCGGATTATCTACATTTGTTATTTTTGTGGTTTGAAATACAACCTACACTAACTATATTGTAAATCATATTATAAATGTATAACTTAAAATTGTAAATGTAATAAATTTGTGAAAAATAAAATGCATCTGTGCTTTGAAATATAATATATAAGTGATAGTGTAATTTATTGCAATTATTTGGGCAATTTTAATGTATTTGTAAGACTATTTTATTGTGTATGTATATAGAATTTATCCAACGCACAACAGAATTTATTACGTATAAGCTTAGTGACAAATTACCTACTGGTTAGTATCCCGAATTGCAAGGCAATAACAATCTAATTATCATGGTATGCATAATATCTTATATAGGTATTAACTATATCTCAGTAGACAGAAAATCATACAATTTTTCCGAGTTGGTACACGGTATTTAAGCTTTAAAATTATTAATTATTTAATTATGAAATGTATAGATACACAAATATTTCTCATTATATTATATTTTGACATTATTATTTTAAGTTTTAATTAGCCCATAGTTTAACTAGGTTCATTATCATAGATTCATAGC